TATACTATAAGTTGAAAGATGAATTGTTGTTTCTTGTTAATAATCCAGAACTTCATCAGTTATATCTTGTGAAAAAGCAGTCTTTAGTACATTATCATCTTTTATTCTTATTTGATAGTAATCAGAAAGAAGATAAATTTTAGAAAATACTTGGCACTGTGTAATTGACCTAACAATTCATCTATTCGTAGTAGCCTGAATTAATTTTTAATTATTATTTTGTTTAGAGCTCTAAAAGCAATACATATTCTTAATGTTCTATCTTTCATTGATACAAACAATACAGAGGCATCATATAGTGAAACACTTGGTTTGATAATTCCTTTTTCTAAGAACTTTTCTATTTGCACTTTAAATTTCATCATTTCTGAAACTGATATATTATAGGTAGTGCCAAAAGGTGGTCATGAACCTTTTTCTAACTAAATTATGGTCCACATTCCATTTTAAAAGTAATTTGTTGAGTAATTCTTTAGAAAATATATCTAGATTTTTCTTTATTATTTTATCCAAAAATTCAGATATCTCTTAATAAGCACCCTAATTGCTTTTATTCACATTACTAATTGCAAACATAGCAAAAAGTTCACTAGTACTCTTAGCTCCTTGTGAAAATTGTTGTCAAGATACTAGAATAGATTGATATACTCCTGTATCCTTTTTTATATCTACTTTTATTTTGTAAATATGTCACCTTTTTTTAACTTGAACTCTATTATTCTTTCAATTAATTCTTAGTTTTAAGTCATATAACCAGGTTTTTTCAAAATTAAATCATACTTTTAAAAAAATAGAATCTCAACATTTTGTCTTATATCTCTATATCCTTGTACCTCTAAGGATATAACTGCTATGTTTCCTTGGGATTCACAATATAGTCTATTCACTAATTTAATAATATCTGGTTCTACTTTTTTAGTTTTATATAGGCATGCCTTTTCAACAAATCTTGAACTAATAAAATTTTTTAAAGTTTCAGAATCAATAAGAATTAATGCTTTTTGTCCATAAACCATTTCATTTACCTTAAGAAGATTTTCTCACTAAGACTTATTAGTTCTGACTTTAATGATTTCATTAATATTACTACTGTTATTCCAATCTTTACTTTTAATTTCTTCAGTATGATTTACTTTATCTTTCTTTTTACTCTTATTTTAACAATCTCTTGCCCAATATCCTTTTTACTACATACAGAGTACTGACTATTCTTTTTGTAAATTTGTTTTTGTTCTTTTATTAATATTTTGTTTTTATTTGTTCTTAAAAAACCTTTCTGTTTATTATTTTTAATTTCTGTTTTATCCAATTCCATTGGTGTGAGCTCTTGTTCTTTATAAGTTTCAAAAGACTATCTTTTTTTTTATTCCTTTGTTGAAATATTCAACTATTACCTTCAACTTTGCTTTATATGACTTTAGCAACCTCATACATTGCTGTATTATAACTGATAGCAAGTTTCACTACATTATCTAATATTTCAGAGGCCCAATAGTTGACTTCTACTTTTGTAGCTCCTTTTAGTCCTTCTGTAAAATATATCACCTTATTAGCTTTATACATTTTTTCTATTAGCCTTAGCAGATTTCTGAAGTATGATACATATTCTTGAACTGTTGATATTTGCTTTAGGTCTTTAATTGTTATTACAAGAGTTGTTGGTAATGTGGAAGTTGAAAAGCTACTTTGATTCCTTTAGCAAATATCTTCCAACTTCAAAAAGGGCTTTCTTCAAAGTTAGCTTGAATTTGGTTTAAATACCATTGTAATATAGTACCTTTTAACCTGTTATAATATCCTGCAATTTTTTCTCATCTCTAACTTTCCTTGCTTTAAAGAGGAGATCTACTTGTAAAAGCTATGTTGATAAATTTTTATTATTCTTTTCTTGGAAAACTAGAAGTTGTACAGTAAAACCTTTGGATGATATCTTATGTATTGTTTTTATACCTATAGTTTCTAATATTAATTCTGCTAATGTATCTTGCATCGTTTGTTGCTGTCACACTATGGATGCCATATATTTATTTATTTAATTTTAATTTCAAAGAAACTATCTCTCTCTCCCTGTCTATTACTCATACAAAATTTTTCTAACAAAAAAATTGCTAAATAATTAAATAACTTTAAATTTTATTAAGCCAACTGGCTTTCTGCTCCTAAACAAACAAATTCT